GCCCTCGCTCCTCCCCCAGACCCAGGAGTCCGGGCCCGCAGCGCCTTCTCCATCGCACCCAGGGGTCCACCACCCCAGCCCCCCCCCTTACCCTCTCAGAATTCCGTCGCCGTTCTCCGCCCCAGGACCCAGGATCCGGGACTCCCCCAGCCTGAGACCTGCGAGCCCACCCTCCTGCCCCCAACCTCCTTAAAACCCCAGTCGTGAACCCTAGGCCCCTCCTTCCTAGGAGCATCAGCCCACCCCCCCCCGCACCCCTTCTTCCTCTGGAACCCACAGGTTCAAGCCCCTAGCATCTTCCTCCGCAAAAGCCAGGAGTTCGGGTCCCCAGACCCCGCTCCCCCGGAACCCAGGAGTCCCCGCCTCCCCTTTAGCCCCAGCTGGAGGCCAGTCCTCCAGGGGTTAAGGGGGCGGGGCCAGTGGGTTGCCATGGAGCCAGACTGTTTGGGTCTGCTCTCTGACCCTTGGGGGCTCCCCAGGGTCTGCGGAGAGGGGGAGGGGGACCCAGACCTGGGGGAAGCCCTGAGCCCACCCCTTCCCCGAAGCCGGGCCTGGGAACCGGTGACTTCGCGTCTCTCCCGACGCCTGGTCCGGTGACCTTGAACCAGTCTTGACCCTTCCGTCTGCGCCTCAGTTTCCCGCCCCCCCCAGGAACGTGGTGCGGTTGCGGGGTGATGCGCGGGCCCTCGGAACCTTGCAGTCCCAGCTCCCCCGCTCCCCTCACCCCCCTCCTCAGGCCCCAGGCAGCCCCGGGGCATGCTGGGAACCCGGGCCTGGGCTCCGGGCCAGGTGGGGGGGCGGGGGCAGCCTCCTCCCTTCCCCTTCCTCCCCACCTTGGCCTGACTCTCGCCCCCGCCGGAGGGTCTGGGAGGTTGGGAAGGAGGGCCGGGACCGCGGACCCGTCTCCGGCCTCCCCCCTTCCCTTCTCCGCCCCCTTCCCGCCTCTGCTCCCCCTCCTCAGCGGGTCGCTACCCCAGCCCGGGGCCCCTTCTCACCCCCACCCCACCCCCCGCTCCA